TCTCACGTGCTCAATAATATTCTTACTCATCACCTTATTGCCGTCCCGTTGCTTCTTGGCCGGTCTTATATACAAGACTACCCCAATCTACTAGTCTCCCGACATTTCATGAAGGTTCGAGAAAGAAGTGGCGTGATACGAGAGTCACGTGACCTGCGTTGTCGTAACAGCATTGTGGAATCTCGTTACTCTGGGTTGTTTAGTCTCAATGACTGGACATCATGTTTCGTTTAACTGACTCCAGCATATCACCCTTGGCAACCCGTACTTCCCTTTCTGCTTTAAGTTGCTTCTATTTGTCTAATATGTCCTGTGTCTGTTTTATAATTAAACCAAATGGAAAGAACCTCTTAGAATCTACGAATGTTGTAATAACTCGGTAATATCCTACTGTGTCTTGCTAGGACTAGTTGGCTGGTTAATTAACACTGTTTGTTGTCTGCTGTATTGGTTGTTCAAGTGGAACGAAATTGTAAAACCTGTCTAATTTTATTATTGTATTCCGTAATTAGAAATGCATATTTATTAGGTTAATGCATTTCTAAATTAGAACGCTACAGTAGTGGGTGGTGGTGGTAACTACTGCATGGTAAGGATGAAACTGAAGGATATCTCCCCCCCCCACTCTCTTCAAAGTGGTACATTATATATTCAAGTATGTTACTGACAGCCATTTTGTTGTTGTTGTTTCTTATCCATTTTTTTTTCTACTTGTGTATATACGCAGTATCTCTAAAGTAACAGCTTGTGATGTGTGTGTGTGTGTGTCAGACTGAAACCTATTATCTTGCCGCGTAATAAACCTGTGCCAAGTAGAGAATTCCTCCAACAAGCAAATGTCTGACACGCCAGTTATTGATATATTGTATAGTGGGGGGGGGGCGGAAAACAGCTACAACTTGTACGTTTTTTTAACAATTTAAAACATCAGTTGCCCCACTGGTTGGACCACTTCTTGAATGCTATATTGGAATAGCCAGTCTATTTTTCTAAATATGTACAAAGACATGCGCAAACAACTCGCTTGCGCACTTCAATCAATGTAGACATTTCGATAAGAAGTTTTAAATACCATAAAAACTAGTTTGACGAAAATGACTTGGATCTCCAAGCCCCTGACTTGTAGGATGACCAGTAAATGTGTTTACCGCACTATTGTTTCGATCTGGCATATAATACTATACCGCTAGAGGGCGGTATAATCGTAGTGGGCTTTGTTTTAGATATAAGACATGTAAACGTGTGAAACTGATATACTGAGTGTGAAAATCTCTTGTGTAATATGTACATAAATATTTTCACATGCTTCATTTAATCTGACAAATACAAAATTATCACCTGTTTTTGTGTTCTATAACCATGACTGTTCTAAGTGGTTGAATGTACAGTTGTTTCTCATCTGAACATTTACATCACCCATGTGAATATCTTTTAGAGGACGTTCATTTAATCAAGACTTAAACAAACTTAGGTATACACTTTATTTTATTTAAATATTGCGTAAGGGAGGGTCTCAACAAGACGTGTAGATACTCGACTTCTACGCATTATTTAATGTTTCTCGGTAGATTAGCTACAGGTACAGTTGAACACTGTTTAAACAACGTTAAAATAAACCCTCGCGATCTGTAATTTTTGTAAACCTACAGCTATGCCATTTTCTAAAGACTTTGTACAAATGACAAGAAATACGTAGCTTGGGAACGCGTATTTGTTATTACTCTGTACGAATGACAAGAAATACGTAGCTTGGGAACGCGTATTTGTTATTACTCTGTACGAATGACAAGAAATACGTAGCTTGGGAACGCGTATTTGTTATTATTCTGTACGAATGACAAGAAATACGTAGCTTGGGAACGCGTATTTGTTATTTTTGTTCTTGCTGAAATATAGTCACGAGCTTTAGATATACAAACAACGTGTTCCTTCAGGAACCACCAGTTATTAATCATTTATGTTTGTCCAAACTTGTCCCCGGGTGGGCCAGGGGAAATGTTACGGTTAGGTTCCCCGTGGTGGACAAGGTCCAGATAGTCCGTTGTATAGCTTTGCACTAATGTACAACAACCTAATTTTTTCACTGTAAATTCTACGACAGTTCTGTAGTCCCATATAATCTTTTTCTCACTGACATTTCACGACTACACTTGTCACTACTTCGATGTCGATCGCCCTGAAACCGAACATCATTAAACTAGTACAAGACTATTCATTGTAACAAACTTCTGTAAAAGATTGAGACGTTTCCAGAGTTATTAGTGGCTCCTGGAGGGATTTAAACATTTTGACAAAAGTTGTTAAACATAATTTATGCAACGTTTCGTTGTGAATTCTTCTACAACTAGCCCATGGCGAAACGTTTGTTAAAATAAGTTTCTCTAACTTTTCTGTGAGAGATCGTTAAGTAAATCTTGGACCTTCTTATGTAGACGTAAGGAAAAGTCCATTACTGTTTCAATGTTGAACTAAATACGTACGTAGACGTCAATTTCTGTAATTGAACTTCTGTGTACTAGCTCGTCAAAACGGACGTTAATCGACGTTAATCTTAAAATCTGTGTTAAATTCAATTCCTATTTTATTTTGTTAATGATGGCACGAGATATGCCCAGCTTCATTGTTAGTGAGTCTTATCTTTCTTAACCACAACTTTCTGGATGACTGCTGTGAGAGTTCTTCGCTCTCGTGGTAAACGTTGTCTTCCTTTTTTTAAAACTTTTCTGATCTTTGGCTTTACAGTTGTTATTTAAATTCACTATAGCAACACCATCTGTCGGCTACGTGGTTTTTCAGTTATAACATTGCAGTGGCAACATTGTACACACACACACACACACACACACACACACACACACACACACACACACACAACTAACTACCTCGTCGTACTACAGCTAGTACTTCTTCGTACGAGAGAGTCGTCGTACTTATTTTAGTTTTAGTTTAGTTTACGGTTTCTTTACTACGTAAGT